TTAGTTAATGTCAATATAAATTATAATATTAATGTTAATATATTAAGTTCACGACACCCTCCCCCTTTCTTAGACAATCTAAATGTCTAAGAAACAACTATAACTCATTGTCTTGGACAGTTTTGGCTAATTGTTTAAGTCTCTTTTTAACGTTTGTTTTTGCTGCTCTTTCGTTTCTTTGTTGGAACTCTTCAGCTTCCGGGTTTAACTGCGTCGCCACCTTTGTGTGGGGAATGTAGTATGAAAAGACCACACAAATAAACCAGTTTTAAAAAAACACGCACATACCAGGTAACTCTCATGGCTTTTGACCAGGTCTTCTAAATTGCCTTCTCTTAGCAGCTTGACTCAAACCTGAAGCTACAGCAGGAGCTACAGCAGTAGAAGAAACAGGATGCATGGAAGATAATTGATCTGGAATAGATTACTGCACCGATAGGACTGGCGCAGATAAGAACATGGGATTTGTTAGAGCCGAAAATGACGAGGAAGTGGAAGACATGGATGCCAAAGAAGATATAGTGGAAAAAGATACACAATGAAGAAGACAAATGAAAAGTTGTCATAGATGTTGCAGAGGAGCTAGGTGAAATGAAATTAAAAGAAGAGGAGGTGCAAGAACTTGAAGGAGTATTCAAAGAAAACGTCGAATAAGTCATGCTAGAGGAAGTTAAAGAAGGAACTGAACTTACAGCAGGTACAAGACTGTATGTTTAACATGAGGAAGATGAGGAAGATGGTACATGAGAGGAAGATAATGTTAATGGATCAAGAGAAGAAGCAGGCCTTGTTGGACAAGAATTTAACCCCTGAGAGGTTTTGAAAAGACCACACAAATAAATCAGTTTTAAACGTATTTTAACACGCCTGTCCTCTCTGTTTACAGCCTAAAACCCAAAGTGCTTACCTAAACAGTTTAATTACTTAGTTAATGTCAATATAAATTATAATATTAATGTTAATATATTAAGTTCACGACACCCTCCCCCTTTCTTAGACAATCTAAATGTCTAAGAAACAACTATCACTCATCGTCTTGGACACTTTTGGCTAATTGTTTAAGTCTCTTTTTAGCATTTGTTTTTGCTGCTCTTTCGTTTCTTTGTTGGAACTCTTCAGCTTCCGGGTTTAACTGTGTCACCACCTTTGTGTGGGGAATGTAGTATGAAAAGACCACACAAATAAACCAGTTTTAAAAAAACACGCACATACCAGGTAACTCTCATGGCTTTTGACCAGGTCTTCTAAATTGCCTTCTCTTAGCAGCTTGACTCAAACCTGAAGCTACAGCAGGAGCTACAGCAGTAGAAGAAACAGGATGCATGGAAGATAATTGATCTGGAATAGATTACTGCACCGATGGGACTGGCGCAGATAAGAACATGGGATTTGTTAGAGCCGAAGATGACGAGGAAGTGGAAGACATGGGTGCGAAAGAAGATATAGTGGAAAAAGATACACAATGAAGAAGAAAAAGGAAAAGATGTAGAATGAGAAGACAAATGAAAAGTTGTCATAGATGTTGCAGAGGAGCTAGGTGAAATGAAATTAAAAGAAGAGGAGGTGCAAGAACTTGAAGGAGTATTCAAAGAAAACGTCGAATAAGTCATGCTAGAGGAAGTTAAAGAAGGAACTGAACTTACAGCAGGTACAAGACTGTATTTTTAACATGAGGAAGATGAGGAAGATGGTACATGAGAAGAAGATAATGTTAATGGATCAAGAGAAGAAGCAGGCCTTGTTGGACAAGAATTTAACCCCTGAGAGGTTTTGGCAAGATTAGCACGACGTTTTGACCTGGGGATGTTTTGACCTGGGGACGTTTTGACCAGAAAGCATTTCCAGACGTGTATGTACAATAAACAGTAAAACAATGATTAAATCGTACATACCATACAATAGATCTTTTGTTGTTGTTTGTTTGCAGAACCTAAAACCACGATGTAGTGCGCCATTTGTTTAATACTGTATTATTTTGTTTTTTATTTTAAAATAATTTAGAATTCCTACCATTTATATACAATATACTTCATGTAATTTAAACATTACGCCAACAGTTTCCGAATGTGTGACAATACTGTTTCTGGATTTGGCACTGGGATATGATGTAGATATAAAAAAATTTATAAAACATGTTTGTAGCATGAAGAAAGCATGAGATTGAAACAGTTTAAATAAATGCAAGCTAAATAAAGAAGTTTTGACATGATACAAAACAAGACAATTTCACTTACAAGGGTGACAAGGTAATTTATAGGATTATAGCTTATTCAGTTATACTGTATAAATACATTGTGTGTGTTCTACCCCCTACCCCTTGTGTTTTTTTGGAAATCAAATATTTATTATATTTTGCAATTTTAACTTGACATAAATTAATAATATTAAAGTTTGAGACATGTGTAGTGCATGCTCCTTAAGTAGAGTATATTAACTGTTTACAATATTTGTGGTACATAATGTAGCCATGAATGACCACATGACCCCACAAGATCAACCCCGATGGCTTCTAAATAGAGAATGGATGAAAAGTTCATGAATATTGAGCTTTATATGTGAATCAGGTTAAATACAATAATTAGTTAACCTAGCTTTATATAAAATGTACATACATGTTGTAATAATTGTATTTTGCTTCGTACAATTCATGTGTGTGTGGAAACATTACATTATTATTCAGCTCACTCCCCACATTGGGGCTTTTCAGTGACCGATTACATCAAGTACTATGATTTCTTATGTTAGCCTAGAGTATTTATCTTTACAACAATGAGAATATGATTATACAATTACTTTATGGTTTCCGTGTTTGGATGGCCTGATCCAAACACGCGGGAATGTTGCGAGAGTTAAGAAAAGCGCGCGAAAGCACGAGCCGAAGGCGAGTGATTTTGCACGCTTTTCTTAACTCGAGCAACATTTCCAAGTGTTTGGATCAGGCCATCCTAACATGGAAACCATAAAGTAATTGTTTTATAAAATAACAACAACACGATAGTCTTCCGTGTTTGGATGGCCTGATCCAAACACGGGTTTCGACCAATCAGAACACGCGTTATATACATGTTATTTTATAAATTACTTTCCTAACTGTGTTTATCCTAACCCACCCTGCCAATTTTGCCCTGTGGGAGGAAACCGGAGCAAAATATAAAATTCAATTCTTTTGAAAATACCTAAATTGCAGTCCCTAAAATTTACAATTTTTTCTTAAATCGCCTAAAATTGCATTAAATCACAGTGCTTGAAAGTCCCAGTTTTTCCTTAAATCGCCTAAAATCACCCAAAATCGCATTATATCGCAGCGATTTAAGGCGATTTACCACCCCAATCATAGTAGGCCTCATAATTTCTAATATTAATTATGTTATTAGTTTTGTATACATAATTGTTTTGTAGTCATTTGTAGTTTAGTGTGTGTAATATTTTTGTAATGTAATATCATGTAAACCACATGCCCCTCGTGGAAATCAGCGTATAGTTGATGGGGCCAGCGTGTGATCTTTTAAATAAAGTTTTACCTACTTACCTACCTACCATATGTATATGCACCATGCACATACACGTCTGAACCATAAATGTTCAAATTTATAAACACAAAACAGTGCAAAGTTATAACAATCGTACATATAAATGCCACAAATTCATGAAAAAGTTCTGTGTAGAAAAAAACGAATGTTGAAATCTCAATGTGGGCATCTGAAAACAGTCAAGTTGCTCTAGCTCATAAAACATATGAAATTAGAGAAACATACAAAACACGAAGCAGCGTGGAATAATCATAATGGCATACATCAAAGGCAGCCACAAATTGAATATTCCATGTATGCAATGCTGCAAATATATAAATGTTCGGGCAATCTAAAAACAAGCTGCACCGTCCCACAATATATGTATTTCAAATGTGGGCATCTGATGCAAGAACAAGGGCACAATACATACATGCACCACATACACATCTACACCACAAATGTTTAAAATTATAAACACAACTCTGACACATATATACACAAAACAATACAAAGTTATAACAATCGTATATATAAATGCCACAAATTCATGAAAAGTTCTGGCAATGTTGAAATCTCATAAAACATGAAATTACTTCATGAACATGCATAAAATGGTAACAATGGGAATATTGCTAATATCAAGCTATTAAATATATCTGAATAGCAATAGCACAATATGCTATTGTTAGCATATTCATGATAACATACGTACAAACATAGTCATGGTAACATACGTACAACACCAGAAACGGCAGCAACATAATCATGGCGGCATACAACATGCCACAAATTGAAAATCCCGATAATGCTGTGACAGACAATTGGGCAATGCGCATTGTCGGCCATCTGAATGCGTTAATTTAGAGAAAGATTGTATGAAAACAGTTAAAGTACACTGCTCTGACCCGTAATATAAAATACCACAAATACATACTATATCATATAAATATATAGTGCAACTTTTAGACTTTCATATGTTATGGTGCGTTATGTATGCGTCAAATATATTTTCCAATTAGGTATATTTTCAACCTTTAGCAGGGTGTTAGCCAGAAAAAGAAAGTTTTGTCCGTTAAACGTAAATTGGGAAAGTTTTTTTGACGGATCAAAGTCCTTGTGTAGGAATAAATAGTGTTTCTTCCAACGTGTTTCTCCTTAGATGCAAACAATAGTAGCTTGGTTTTGTACATTTCATTTCCAGTGCCAACATGAATGAAATACGATACATTTTGAGAAAATAATTAATGGGAAAAATAAAATAAAACGTTCTTTGATAAAATAATATAAAATCAAACGCAATGCAAGTACTTTCTCATCAGAAAAAACGAAAATCGTCCAGTAGACCCAGTTGGGAAAGCCCCTTAGCTACTTCAATTGGGAAGAGTCTGTCAAACGGACAGTATATGGGCTAGCTAACACCCGGCCTTTAGGCTTCGGGTTCAAATTATATTAACGCTACCATAACACAAATAGCATAAAGCCTTATACCTTTTATATATTTTTATTTACTTTCAACAATATGAATTAGTGTCTCTATAATATTATAATAATATAGTATTCTTAATATATCAACTTATCTCTCTATTTGTTTGAGCTGAGCACAACTTTGAATCTTTATTCTTTATACTTTGTATTCCGTCTTCTTTAATAAATCCACAATATTCCAATGTTCTTTAGTTTACTTGACGAGGCTTAACTATCTAGGCTTTTGATTATATACTTCAGCCTTTGTTGGCTTATGAAGTATTTTAGCCTAAATGGCTCTTCTCACTCCACTCTCTGCTCCTTGACTCTCAGGTTGTGCTCAGCTTTTATAATAAATTTTAGAGGAAGAAATCTATAACTATGACTAATTTCTTCTATGCAATATGTTTGTCAAAGCAAGTTCTAGCAGTGTTTATCAACAACAAAACCATGTCCTGTTTGCTTGGTTTGTAGTACTAGGCATTTCCCGTGGTTCTTTAATCTCTCTAAGTATTTGCTTACTTGTGCGAGGAAGGTTACCTAAGGTTTTCCTCTTATAATTATAACAGTACTGAATATATAGTATTGAATATATTAAATAACATGGTATAACACTGCCATGTGTCCCCAAAAAAGAGGAGGGCTAAAATTTTGCCTTCAATCTTAAAGGGAGGATCGAAAACGTTTCAACCCCCATTTCCTAACATGCCAACCCCCATTTTCCTAATTTGCCAACTCCCTCTCTATAAATATTTAATGACCACACCCTGTCACAAAACTAACTATACAGTGAGATTTTGCTAAACTTTCATAATCAAGGCTGTCGGAAGTAAATCAATATTAGGGGGGGGGGGGATTTTGAAGAATAAATCTGAATTGCTTTTGCACTTTTCTAGTTCTGTGTGTTTTACTTATACAAATGGAAATTATAGCCCCCCCCCCACTTCTGACAGCCTTGATAATAAACAGCACAAATTTGAATTACAAAATTAATAATATAAAAAATTTTTTAAACATCAATGGGAGTGGTAGTATATGATCAATTGTAAATAAGGAATTATCATCTGGTGGTTGCTGTGAGATGTTTGCTTGATGGTTGTTGTAAATATTTTGCCATATATTTGTTTCAGAGTATTAGTTAGATGTAATAGGCTGCTGGGCAGTTTTCAACGAATAGTACAAAGTGTTTTTAAACAGCTTTTTACAGTAAGCATTTTAGATGGTTTTACTAGTCTTATAATTTGGTACAGTAATAAAATAAATTTTATGCTTGGTAAATCCCATTGACCGATTGTTTTCCTAACACTGATCATATTTTAGACATATTAAGGTCCATAAAAGGCTGGTACTGGTTTACATGAGGGCAATAGAAGGGTGCACCAGATGACATATATGGCACTATAAGTGAACTCACATGCTCAGGTAGCACATGTGCTGCAATTTTCTCTTTATCACAGACATAAAAAAACTGATAGATTATTTGATCCGATATAAGTTGTCAACTCAATTGAATGTGCCAAGAGAAAAGTCACAACCAATTTTAATCAAATTGGTCGGATAATTCAAATGGATATTTATCTGGCAAAGCCGTGAACTGATCAATAGTAACATTGGCTGCCTGGTGCACACTACATTGAACCAGCTTTCCTGAATGCATTGAATGTCCTCCTCTCAGTGTAGCACCGCTGAGAAGGGATGATAGCCCCATTGTTTTCCTCTACATGGTATTCCCGAGGTGACCAGGACAAGTACAAGCGAAACAGACAGGGTATCCAAGAAAAATGTTGTGTGGGAAAATGCCAAGTGATCTTTTCCTTTTGAGGGCCTGTTCATGTAGGAAAACGTTATCCCGGTTGGCGAGAAAACTTTTCGACAAGTTTACAAGCAAGATGTCACCTTGGTATGAAAATAATATGAAAAGTTACACTGCGTTCATATGAGACAAAAAGTTTTCCCGTGTACTGAGCTCTCGCGTGTTGACAGGCAAGATCTCGGTGACCGGGACGTTTTTCCCATATGAACACAACTTCCCTGCTTAGCGGGATAACTTTCTGTTGTGTCAGCAACTTTTCAATTCAGTTGATTTTCAGTGCTACGTCATAGCCAGAAACTTTACCCGGTAGGTGGGATAACGTTTCTCCATATGAGCAGAAGTATTTGGCTAGTCAAAACGTTTTCTCGTTAACTGGGATAACTTTTGCCCATATGAAACAGGCCCCAAGACTATGATTAAAATCCAGTTAAGGACTTTCAATGTTAGAAAGGAAAACGTAGTTATGCAGGGAATTCTACTGCCTGCCTCAGCTCAGCAACAGAATCCAGAATGGTGTTGTGAACTGGTGTTGGGTTATTGAAATATCTATATCAAACAAGTATATAGCAGTTTATACTCTATATTCATGACTCGGTAAAAGGAAAGATGTGCAGATACATGTGCTGTCATGTTGTGCTACATTTTAAAATAAATTTTGTACTACTGTCTGTCTCACTCAATAGAATCTTCACTTATATTATCCTCGTCCTCCCACAAGGCTTCACATCTAGACCAGCCAAGCTACTTAACTAGATTAATCAGTATTAACCTAGATAAAGACGTGTTGTAATAAGTTTGTTTAAACTCTTTCTCATTTGGCGGTAATTAAACCAAGTCGGTTTCAACCAGGTTATTTGGAGGTATGTATCTTTGGTTCAGTACATATGCTATTGATGAAACTACCACGTTTCGATTCAGTCCGAAAATATTTCCTAATTTCTATTGATAGTTTTAGTGAAATGTCAACATTATAGCGATTTATGGCCTTTGAAAGTCAAATGGGATTGTATATTATCAAATTACACAATATTATTTGATAAATGCAGAATGCATACCTGTTGCTGAACATAACTTCGGCCCCTTGGGACACATCCTTAAAATTGGTCTAATTGTTGAAAGAGAATTCAAAACACTATTTAGAGTGTTATTTTCGAGCTTGCAACTTTAAAATTGCATCTTTTATTATGTATTATTTTAGTATTGCCATTTCTGGTCTGATTGTGAACTATTCTCAACTGGAAATACAATTTTAAAATGTCAAAACAATGCGTTTTTACATTTGTATCCTATGACTCGGGAAAGGTCGGAAATCGATTCTAAATGTCAAATTACCCCAACAGCGTGATTCGCATGTGTATCAGTCTACGAGAGGTCCTTATTCGCCAATTTTAGTGTGTGTGAGTAAAAACCATAGAAATGTTAGACCAAGAATGTGTGCTTGGTCACGTGACTGGTGTCCAAATTGAAAACAAAAATGGGTAATCGTTCCATGTTTCGCGCACCAATATAGTAAACGTTATGTAATGGATGTTATAGTGTGCTGAAAAATTAACTGGATACCTCCATACATGTATATACACACCCTAACCTTAAACCTAACCCCTAATACCTAACCCCTAACCCTAACTTATATTGGTGCGCAAAACATGGAACGATAACCCAAAAATGCCCTTATAAATCCGCCATGTTGAATTTGAGCATAGGAGTGCAAACTAGAAAGTATAAACAAAGCTAAAACTATAAAGTTTTCATTGTCAAAACTTTTTGTCTTGCTGTCTAATTTGTAGCTTGGGGATATATTTTGAAATATTAAGTTCTTTAAAGGCTCAACGCAAATGTGCAGTTACAAAAACAGTGAAAATCGTGCAGCCTTGTAAGGGATGGACCATTATTTTTTGGAGGGGCCGGGGATGGAAAATTCTTAAAAGAATTGTTTGCAAAGACAAAAAAGTGCAAATAAATTGTTTGCACACATAAAGAAGAGGAAAAAAATAGTTTGCAAGCTAATGAGATTATGCAACATCAACTAAGGTTTAATACAATGAACAGAGCACTCACCAACATACCCAGGGTCTTTACCACAAAAGCCCCTGGAATGGGAGATGCTGGGAACATGTCACAATCTACATATAGGTTATAAATATTAATCTATTGAATACAGTCATTTTTTGGGTTCTTGAAATAGGTGATTGGACAAGTACTGGTGTAAGACATATTGTGTAGCGTAAATAATGAGAGGACCAGTATCAAGGCCTTTTTTAACATACAAGCTGGGGTTGGGGGGTGGGGCAAATGGCCCCCTTATGCCCGCCACAAAATAACATTCCTCCCCCAGGAAAAGTCCCTTTTTCCTAAATTTATACAAACAAACCAGCAAAAAATAACAAATTGATAAAGAAAAAGTAAGTTTTAGGCTTTGTCATTGTTAATAATTTTGTTTTCAAATTTCCTTCTTTTATTTCAAATACAAGTGTCTTTAGCATACATTTTAGAGCAAATTTAAATGCTCAGAATGTAGGCTTCAAGTTTCAAAACATTTTTGGGGGAATATGCCCCCAGACCCTGTGGCACCACTTCAGTCATTCCTATCCCCCTGTAATATATTATCTAACAGAAAGGTCCCTTTTCAAAAAATGCCCCCCTCCGCCACAGGAACATCCTAAAAAAGGCCCTGACCAGTATACCTAAAAAACTATTAAATATCTGTTTACATATTAAATTTATACTTCTGACAACACCACATGTTTGATCACACATATGCGATAGTGTAATCAGGCACAAATTAAACTATATATACCAATTTATAATGAAATCCACAGCGATCAGATGGACAAAAAAATTGTTTGCAGAAGGAAGCAGGTGCAAGGAAATGGTTTGCAATGACAACAACACCAAAAAATGTTTGCGTTGACGAAATGTCCATCCCCCCTCTAAAAAAAGAATGGTCTGTCCCTAAAAACAAAGTAGTGTCGCACATTAAAATATAATTTACTCATAAAACTTTTTGCCTGCGCTGGACGTAACTGCTTTGCTAATATTTTATTAAATTGCGAAGTGATAGTTTGTTCTTCATCAGATTTAGTTTTTCTTCAATCTATAAACGCAGTGTTTTCACGTTTTTGAAACAAAAATATTTAAGGTAATTCCGCAGTTTTGCATTGCGCACTTTTACTGCGCACATCCTATGACTTATAATTTCATCCATTATATATACGTACCGTTTAAAACAAATAATTTTATGACAATTTTATGTTGCTTCAAAACATCTTTGGTTACATTCGTGCAAAAAATTACGTTAAGATCAATGTTTTCAAAAAAGGCATACAAAAGTGTTGCTAGGGTTCCCTGTGTCTGCAGTATATTATTTACTTGTATTTCACGTTTTAATGCCTCAATTCCCTAAAAAGATCGGCGAGCCCCGTTTTTTAACTGATAATTTATTTAAGTATTTTACATTTCATATCCGAAATTAAAAGAAAAATCATTTCTGGATCTTGAAAAAAAATCCTTTATCAATGCATGTTCTCAAAGAAAGATATGTTAAGAAATGTGGAAAAGACATTTGTGGATCAGAATTATACACGTTAGTGAGGCCCTGTTAGGGTAAATTCAGACAGGCGACA